AGTCTTATTCTGTCCTCCAGGCTGGAGTGCAGTCTCGAGATCTTGGCTCACTGTAGCCTTCCCCTCCCGGGTTCAAGTGATTCTCCTGCCTCAGCCTGAGTAGCTGGGACTACGAAAGTGTGCCATTGCGCTCAGCTAACTTTTGTATTTTTTTGTAGAGATGGGGTTTCACCATGTTGGCCAGGCTGTAAACAGCCAGTTTTTTTGTTTTTGTTTTTGTTTTGAGATGGAGTCTGGCCCTGTCCCAAAGTTATAGCACAGTGGCGCAATCTCAGCTCACTGCAATGGTGAAACCCCGTCTCTACTAAAAATACAAAAAGTAGCTGGGCATGGTTGTGGACACCTGTAGTCCCAGCTATTCGGGAAGCTGAGGCAGGAGAATCGCTTGAACCCAGGAGGCAGAGGTTTCGGTGAACCAAGATCGCGACACTGCACTCCAGCCTAGCAACAAAGCGAGACTCCGTCTCAAAATAAATAAATATCAAAATTAAGTTTTTTAAAAAACAATACTATTATTTTTTAAACCACATCACATATCAAATCACTTTTTCTTTTTCATTTTTAGCCTCAGAATGTTTGGGTAAATCACATTGTCTTAAATTACATAGGCAATGACCATTTTCATAATTTTAATTTTTTTTCGAGATGGGGTCTTACTCTGTTGCCCAGGCTGAAGTGCGGTGGTGAAATCTTCGCTAACTGCAACCTTCTCCTCCGGGGTTTAAGCAATGCTCCTGCCTCAGCCACCCAAGTAGCTGAGATTACAGGCACCAGCCATCATGCCCGGCTATTTTTTTATTTTTCATAGAGACGGGGTTTTGCCGTGTTAGCCAGGCTGGTCTCAAACTCCTGACCTTGTCCTCCCAAAGTACTGGGATTACAGGTGTTAGTCACCTCTCCTGGCCCATTTTCATAATTTTAGAAGAGGTAAGTTTTCATGACTGAAGTTTCACCTGTAAATACAAGTATTTTCCCACAAACTACTACCTGCTTGGCAGAGTTAATTAACATCTTCCTCACCAAACAATAGTGTTTCCACCACATCAGTGTGGTGGATGATCCTGTGGGCCTTCAGATCACGTTAAATAGAATGCTGACAACAATAACAACTTTGTCATTCTGAGGTGAATGAGTTTCTCACATTCCCATTTGAACTCATGAGATTGACAAGCAAAAAGAGGAAGTAGGACAGGCAGGATGGTTCACCTGGAATCCCAGTACTCCGGGAGGCTGAGGCAAGAGGACTGCTTGATACCAGGAGTTTGAGACCAGCCTGGGCAACATAGTGAGACCCAGTATTTTTAGTCTCAACAAAAAATTTTGTTTTTTTTTTGAGACAGAGTTTCGCTTTTGTTACCCAGGCTGGAGTGCAATGGCACCATCTCGGCTCACCGCAACCTCCGCCTCCTGGGTTCAAGCAATTCTCCTCTCCTGCCTCAGCCTCCTGAGTAGCTGGGACTACAGGCACGTACCACCATGCCCAGCTTATTTTTTGTATTTTTATTAGAGACAGCGTTTCACCTTGTTGACCAGGATGGTCTTGATTTTTTTTTTTTTTCTTTTTTGAGAGGGAGTTTCACTCTTGTTGCCCAGGCTGGAGTGCAATGGCGTGATCTCGGCTCACTGCAACCTCCGCCTCCTGGATTCAGGCAATTCTCCTGCCTCAGCCTCCTGAGTAGCTGGGATTACAGGCACACGCCACCATGCCCAGCTAATTTTTTGTATTTTTAGTAGAGATGGGGTTTCACCATGTTGACCAGGATGGTCTCGATCTCTTGACTTCGTGATCCACCCACCTCGGCCTCCCAAAGTGCTGGGATTACAGGCATGAGCCACCGCGCCCGGCCTTGGTCTTGATCTCTTGACCTTGTGATCCACCCACCTCGGCCTCCCAAAGTGCTGGGATTATAGGTGTGAGCCACCGCGCCCGGCCTAATTTTTGTATTTTTAGTAGACACAGGGTTTCACCATGTTGACCAGGATGGTCTGGATCTCTTGACCTCATGATCCACCCTCCTCGGACTCCCAAAGTGCTGGGATTATAGGCGTGAGCCACCGAACAAAAAGTTTTCAAATTAGGCAAGCGTAGTGGCATGCATCTGTAGTCTCACCTACTTGGGAGGCTGAAGTGGGAAAATCACATGAGCCCAGGTTTTCAAGGTGACAGTGAGCTGTCATTGTTCCACTGCTCCCACTCTGCCTGCCCCACCCCTAAAAACAAAAGAGCTAAATAGCATGCCTGGGTTAGCAGGTTATCCAAAATTCCTTAACACAGCTGATGGGTCTAAATCTGTTCCTGTCTTTTCTCTCCACATTCCTTTCTTAACATGTATATATATATATACACATACATGGTTTCACATGCTTACTGGTAGACTCGGGTTATCAATGAAATACTTCTTTTCTCAAGATATAATTCTTAATTTTATTTTGAACTTGAATTATTTCTTTAACAGATAATATACATGTAGTACAGAAAGAGAATGCAGGCAAGCAAAAAAAAAATGAGCATAACCACCTAAAGAAAATATTTTTGTTTTTTATTTGTTTTTTTTTTTTTTTTTGAGATGGAGTTTCGCTCTTGTTACCCAGGCTGGAGTGCAATGGCGCGAACTCGGCTCACCGAAATCCTCCTGCCTCAGCCTCCTGAGTAGCTGGGATTACAGGCATGCGCCACCATGCTCGGCTAATTTTTTGTGTTTTTAGTAGAGACGGGGTTTCACCATGTTGACCAGGATGGTCTCTATCTCTTGACCTCGTGATCCACCTGCCTTGGCCTCCCATAGTGCTGGGATTACAGGCATGAGCCACCGCGCCCAGCCTTATTTGTTTTTTAAGATGGAGTCTCACTCTGTCACCCAGGCTGGAGTGCAGTGGCGTAATCTCAGCTCACTGCAACCTCTACCTCTCAGTTCAAGCACTTCTCATGCCTCAGCTGGGATTATAGGTTTGCGCCACCTCACCCAGCTAATTTGTTTTATTTTTAGTAGAGACAGGTTTTTGCCATGTTGGCCAGGCTGGTCTTGAACTCTCAACCTCAGGTGATCCACCCACCAAAGTGCTGGGATTACAGGTGTGAGCCACTGCTGCAATGTTAACTTCAGAAAATTTTTTAGGCATATGAATACATATAACAAATTGGGTCATAGGATGAGTAATCCGACTTACCACTTCACAGCTTGAATATCTTTCCATTTCAATAAATACATCGTTATTCTTCAAAGCTCCATACACTGAAACGATGTTTAAAAATAACCCCAGTTGTTCGGAATACAAAGAAACCATACTCAGTCCTCAACTATGGAAACATTATTGACTTAATCATTGGATTTATGCAAGGTGGGTAAGCTGACCTGGGGGACGGGAGTTCTTTTCCCTACAAGCATTCCACTTCCTGGCTATTCAGCCTTTCTTGTCACTAAGCCTGTGGGAGGAAGCTATTGGCCCCGCTCCTGGGCCCAGGAATGCTGCTGCTGCCTTGAATAGCTGTGTGAACAGTCCTTCTATGGGCAAGAGGCAGCCCGCCTGGGTACCTGAATGTTTTCTCACTTGGGCCTGTGCTTCCCATGCTCACCCTGAAATTCAGACCAGATGCATTCTCAGGACAAAATGTGAAACTCAAGCAGAAGAGAAAGCCTGCGGTTCTCATTTCAGAGGTGGAATAAAAACAAAATGTCTTCTGGAAGGGCTCCGGGACCTAGACCTCGCTGGCACCAGGGAATGACAGTCAGCTCCCATGGGCCCAGCCTGTCCTGGGACCCACATGGGTGGGCTCCTTCCTCAGGAATGCGTTCTCAAAGGCCCTACCAGGTGTAGTGGGGGCTGGAAAATAGCACAAACCCAAGTGTCCTCTACAAAGCAGGAAGTGAAGTGGGGGGTCTCTTAAAACTCACCAAAACCTACCTTCCTCTGAAGAACCAAGGAAGGGCTCCTTTTTTTTTTTTTTTTTTTTTTTTTTTAGATGGGGTTTCACCACGATGGCCAAGCTGGTCTTGAACTCCTGACCTCAGGTAATCCACCCACCTCGGCCTCCCAAAGTGCTGGGATTACAGGCGTGAGCCACCGCGCCCGGCCGGGAGGGCTCTTTTTTCCCTACAGTGACGTTCAAAGTGGTGCTGTATCTATTGGAACTAAAATAAGGGTAATTTCTTCTTTTCACCATTCCCCCGTCTCAATACAAGCGAACCGGACTGTGCTGAGTGGCGTCATCTCCTAGTTTCAAGGCGGTCTCCCATCTGACTTTGAGCCCTCGCTCTCTGATCCCCCAGGGCCTCTCTCATGGAGTCTGAGCAGCTGTTGCAGGGAGGCCCGGGAGCCCCTGGCAGGAGCAGCCCAGGAGCCTGCAGCAAAACTGTAACTACGCCTGAAGCCAACTAAAGTGAACGCCAGTGTTGCTGGGTTAGAAGCTCCTGCACGAACACAGGGGTGGGAACGACTCCTGGAATCCGGCCCCGGATAGCTTTTAAATGCGCCAAGAAAAAACGTCACTGAAAAACTTGATACGCGTTCTTGCTTTGGTTCAGAATGGTAAAATGCCTATCCTGTGTATCCCGTGACAGGGTTAACTAGCAACCCTTGAAACTAGTGGAACTCAAAAAGCAAAACAAAAAGCCATTGTATCCAGCCGCCCCGGGACCTGGGCCGGCGCCCTTGGGAAGTCTGGCGCGAAAGGAGGGGTGGCTTCGGTTTCAGGGCCGAGCTCGCCTCCTCCGGGTTGGGTTCAGTGGCCGGGTGGGTCGTGGGCAACCCCGGGAGGCCCCTGGTCCCGGCGCGCGGCTGGGCCGCCCACGGAGCTGGCACTTGTCACTCGCCGTCCCCGGCACGGGAGTCCGTGGGGAGACCCGGAAGGGCGGAGGGAGGGACCGCGGCGATTCACCCGGCGGAGCCGGGGGCGGGCGCCGCGTGGGGGGCAGGCGAGCCCGCGCTCGGGGCGGTGGCGCCGGGCACGGAGGGGTTAAGGGGGCGGTGTCGGCGACGCCCCGCCTCTCCACGCCCATCCTGCTTCCCTAAGGGCCGCGGCGCCCCGCCCTATTTATAGCAGCGGTGCCGGGCTCGCAGCGTGTCTCCGCAGGCCCCGGCCGCGGTGTCCCCGAGTTCCGAGTGTAAGTGCCATGGAGCGGCCGGCGCCCCTGGCCGTGCTGCCCTTCTCTGACCCCGCGCACGCCCTCAGCCTGCTGCGCGGCCTGAGCCAGCTCCGCGCCGAGCGCAAGTTCCTGGACGTGACCCTGGAGGCAGCAGGCGGGCGCGACTTCCCGGCGCACCGCGCGGTGCTGGCCGCAGCCAGCCCCTACTTCCGCGCCATGTTCGCCGGGCAGCTGCGCGAGAGCCGCGCCGAGCGGGTGCGCCTGCACGGAGTACCGCCCGACATGCTGCAGCTGCTGCTGGACTTCAGCTACACGGGCCGCGTGGCGGTGAGCGGCGACAATGCCGAGCCGCTGCTGCGCGCCGCCGACCTGCTGCAATTCCCGGCCGTGAAGGAAGCTTGTGGCGCCTTCCTGCAGCAGCAGCTGGACCTGGCTAACTGCCTGGATATGCAGGACTTCGCCGAGGCCTTCAGTTGCGCGGGGTTGGCGAGCGCGGCGCAGCGCTTCATCCTGCGCCACGTGGGCGAGCTGGGCGCCGAGCAGCTGGAGCGGCTGCCACTGGCGCGCCTGCTGCGCTACCTGCGGGACGACGGGCTGTGCGTGCCCAAGGAGGAGGCAGCCTACCAGCTGGCGCTGCGCTGGGTCCGCGCTGACCCGCCGCGCCGCGCCGTGCACTGGCCGCAGCTGCTGGAGGCCGTGCGCCTGCCCTTCGTGCGACGCTTCTACCTGCTGGCGCACGTCGAGGCTGAGCCGCTGGTGGCGCGCTGCCCGCCCTGCCTGAGCCTGCTGCGCGAGGCGCGCGACTTCCAGGCAGCGCGCTATGACCGCCACGACCGCGGGCCCTGCCCCCGAATGCGTCCTCGCCCCTCCACTGGCCTCGCCGAGATCCTCGTGCTCGTGGGCGGCTGCGACCAGGACTGCGACGAGCTGGTCACTGTCGACTGCTACAACCCGCAGACGGGCCAGTGGCGCTACCTAGCCGAGTTCCCAGACCACCTGGGCGGGGGCTACAGCATCGTGGCGCTGGGCAATGACATATACGTGACGGGTGAGTGGGCCGGGGGCTGGGCAGGCTCTTTGGGGTGGAGCCTCGCCCGTGCGGTAGCCCAGCTACCCGCAGAAGAAATGTACAGACCCTGGAATCCTAGGGCCGCACCTGAGTCCAAGCTGGGGCCCGGGTGACTACAAAGCACTGGCCGGTACTTTTCAAGTATCACCCTTGAAAAGTATCGCCGCTTGTATGAGCCGGGACAAGTAATTGCTTGTGAGTCTGTGACCCGTGAGGCCGGGGTGCCAGGCTGAGCCAACTCCGTGCCCCGAAGGTGCCTCCCCACTTGGTTGGAAGATACTGGGGCATTCACTCCGCACAATGGCTGCTTTCTTTTTCTCCTTAGGGAATCTAGGGAAGGGCAGGAGTCTGACGCCCGGTGGTGAGGCATCTGTTCTCCCCCAGCGGGGGAATGTCGCCCTCCCTGCTGAGCCACCCGGGCCCCCTGACTCACTCTTTGTCACCGGTGACACGGTTCCCTTGGGCTTGCACCTAGGCGCTGTGCTGTGGTCACATGGTGTTTAGGCTGCCCTCCCCAGAGACTGTAAACATGGTCACATGTTAGAGGTTTTCTTCCAGTTACTTGGCCCAAGCCCGAAAACACTGCCGAGTCATGGTAGGCGGGTCCCAGGCCGCCTGGGTTTGGGCTTCTCCTGCAGTTTTTGTTGAAGATAAATCCCAGTTTAAACAGGAGGCTACCTCCTTCCCCGGGGTGAGGAAGGGCGGGCTCTGTAACTGCTATATAAGGAAAGAACCCACCAGGCAGGCATGTGAGGCAGTTATCAGGCAAGGAGGTGGGGACTGGGATGTCACAGTTGCTGTGCCCAGCCTTACATGTTCGCCAGAGAGCCCACTCTGGGACGTGCTCTGAGTTCCAGTGGGACTCTGAGCTGTCAAGTGTGACAGTTGCTGGGCTCTGGCCACAGCTTCCTTGCCCTGCAGCTCTGAGTCCAGCCTCTGCTGGAATCTGCCAGTAGATTCCTCTTTCCAATCTGAGGTTGTCCCCAAGTTGATTGGAGACGGTGTCCCTCCCCTCTCCCCAAAGTCTGACGAATGTCTTTGAGGAGAGGATTGCTTCCCAGAACTACTCAGACTCGCCCCAGCTTTCTGCACACCCTTCCATAAATGTCTCAGCAGAGCAGTTAATCCCTTGGGTTTAGGCAGGTGGCTGGGTAATTCCATTCAGCTGCCTTTCACACAGCTCCATGGAAGGGAGGAGGCCGGCAGAGTGCACTTCCTAAGAACAAGAACTTGCTCTTCCTTTAGAGCTCAGGGCTGTGAGACAGAATGTCCTGTCTGCTCTGTCCTGGTGGTGCCAGTCTGGGAGGCCAAGGCGTGCAGCCCCAGGATTCTTGGGGTCCCTTCCTGTCCTGGGGTTTCTAATAGCCCTTCTAGACCTGGTATGATTTATGATTACAGCTAGTAGCACTTTTTATTGAAACTAAAAATACAGGGCCGGGTGCAGTAATCACATCTGTAATCCCAGCACTTTGGCAGATCAAGGTGGGTGGATCCCTTGAGCTCAGGAGTTTAGGACCGGCCTGGGCAACATGGCAAAACCCTGTCTCAACAAAAAATACATAAATTAGCCCAGTGTGGCAGCGTGTGCCACCTACTCAGGAGGCTGAGGTGGGAGGATTGCTTGAGCCCAGGAGGTGGACGTTGCAGTGATCTGAGATCATGCCACTGCCTTCCAGCCTGGGTGGCAGTAAGACTGTATCAAAAAAAAAAAAAAAGTAATTCAGGCAGAAGAGTATATATATCGTACTTAACACAGCTTGATGGATTTTTCTTTTTTTTTGAGACAGAGTTTCGCTTGTTACCCAGGCTGGAGTGCAATGGTGCGATCTCTGCTCACTGCAACCTCCGCCTCCTGGGTTCAAGCAGTTCTCCTGCCTCAGCCTCCCAAGTAGCTGGGATGGTCTCGATCTCTTGACCCTGTGATCCACCCGCCTTGGCCTCCCAAAGTGCTGGGATTACAGGCTTGAGCCACCGCCCCTGGCCGATGGATTTTTCTAAGCAAACACAGCTTTGTAACCTGCACCAGAATCAAGAAGTGGGCTGTATGTTGTTAGGTCTCTTGCTTACAGGAGGATGTGGGCTTCTGCTCTTCTAGTCCTGGCAGAACCTTGTTTGGAGGGTGCCCAGGAACCCTGGGACTTAGTGAGCAAGTCCCTGTGCACCCTGCAGACATGCTCTTTGGCTCCTCAGCAGAGCTGGCCCACGGCCGGGTGCTCTGGTCGGTTGAGGTGTCCAGAGGAGGCTGCCGGGTCCTTTGGCATTGCACCCGGGACCTTTGTTTGGTAGAGGCTTGGCGGTGGTCTTCTCGCTGGCGGTGGTCAGCATGTGCTGTGCCTTAGCCACAGCATGTGGCCTGGGCTTTGGGGAGAGGACATGTGTCTGAGGTGAAGCCCGGTGACATTAATTCCTCCCAAGGGAGAGGCCCTCTCAGAAGTTCAGGAAGGTGCAGGTGGGTGACTCACCTTGTGTACGCTGACCACCTGCCCATCATGCACCCTGGCAGGTGGGTCCGACGGCTCCCGGCTCTATGACTGCGTGTGGAGGTACAACTCAAGTGTGAATGAGTGGACGGAGGTGGCGCCCATGCTGAAAGCCCGCGAGTACCACAGCTCCTCTGTGCTGGACGGACTGCTGTACGTTGTGGCTGCCGACAGCACCGAGCGCTATGACCACACCACCGATTCCTGGGAGGCCCTGCAGCCCATGACCTACCCCATGGACAACTGCTCCACCACTGCCTGCCGCGGCCGGCTCTATGCCATCGGCTCCCTGGCTGGCAAGGAGACCATGGTGATGCAGTGTTATGACCCCAACACCGACCTGTGGTCGCTGGTGGACTGTGGCCAGCTCCCGCCCTGGTCCTTCGCCCCCAAGACTGTGACTCTGAATGGACTCATGTACTTTGTCAGGTGAGTTGCAGGCGCCGAGCTGCACTGTGTGTTTGGCATCTCTTACCAGGTCCTGCACTAAGCACGTCATGGCTGCTCTCTCCTTTCTACAGATAAGAAATGGAGGCCTAGCTGGGGTCGGAGGCTGGGTCTGTCTCTCTTTTTTTTTTTTTTTTTTTTGAGACAGAATTCTACTTTTCCAGGCTAGAGTACAATGACACGATCTTGGCTCACTGCAACCTTTGCCCCCCAAGTTCAATCCATCCTCCTGCCTTAGCCTCCCAAGTAGCTGTGATTACAGGCATGTGCCACCATGCCCAGATAATTTTTGTATTTTTAGTAGAAATGGGGTTTTATCATGTTGGTCAGGCTGGTCTCGAACTCCTGACTTCATGTGATCCACCTGCATCAGCCTCCCAAAGGCTGGGATTACAGCATGAGCCACCGTTCCTGGGCTGTTTTTTTTTTTTTTTTTGGAGATGGAGTCTCACTCTGTCACCCAGGCCGGAGTACAGTGGTGCAGTCATGGCCCACTGCAGCCTCAACCTCCTGGGCTCAAGCAATCCTTCCGCTAGCCTCCCAGGTAGCTGGGACCACAGGCATGTGCCACCACACCTGGCTAATTTTTAATTTTTTTGTAGAGACAGGGTCTCGCTATATTGCCCAAGCTGGTCTCAAATCCCTTCCTCAAATGATCCTCCCACATTTCCTGCCTCCCAGAGTGTTGGGATTACAGATGTGAACCCCAACATCTGGCCAGGCCAGGTCTTTCTGAGCTAGAGTGCTCGTTCTATTTATTTGAGTTTAAGGAAAACTCCAGATTTTCTTAATCAATGGATTTTAAGGGTGGTGGAGTTGGGTTCTTCGAGGGAAGAGCAGACTGTAGCCTGGGCAGCATGGAGCAGAGATAGGCAGCCTGCAGGTCGTCAGGTGTCTGCTGGCCTTGATGACCTGTCCGGTCACAGCCAAATGCTGCCTCCACCTGGTTGGTGGGCATCAATGAAGGTGCAGGGCAGCGCCCCGCCTGCTGTACTCCGCTGTGTCTTCACACACCCTGCTGCTCCTTCCCAGCCTAGAGCCTGCCTGAAACTCTGGGTCCAGGAGGGAAGGGGACAAACTGAATGACAGTCCCTACTGTGCCCTTTTGGTCTGGGGCTTTGAACGGGGAGCTTGGGGGATGTGAGCTCCCTGCTTCTTGGCCCCGTGCCTCTCACTGCCAGAGCTGCATTGGCTTTGGCCTTAGCCTTTGCCCCACCCCACGAAACAGGAGGCTCCTTACCAGGCTTTTGTGGTAAGCACCAAAAAGAACAGGGGTGGCGTTGTTACACAAGTAACTGGGCACCTCTATGTGCCAGGAGCCAACAGTCTTGCTCTGAGAAAGCCCTGGAATCTGAGCCAGCTCTGGTCCCATTATAAAATATCATCTGACCCTTTGCCCAGCTCTCCCTCCCCCAAGTTGTGAAGGTGTCTTCAAAGAGTGGGTGGAGATGGCTATAAATACAACCTATCAAAAGGCTAGAACCTTCTTTTCAGCTCCTAGGCAGTGGTTCCAGGCCCAGTGCCTTTAAGAGTCCTCCTCCCCTCCCCCATCTGTCCTAGAGCAAGATATGATGTGCCCCAGGGAGGTCTGCCTGCTGGGTTAACTTTCCCACAGGGAAGCATGAGGGTCTGGCACCCCTCACCCCACTCACTTCTAGCCTTAACAAGGGTTTTCTAAGCCACCTGCATGTGTAAGAGGAGGCAGTGCTCTGGAAAGGCTTCATCCTACCAATGTGACCTGTTCATCCTACCAATGTGACCTGTGCCAGAGGAGGGGCACCCAGGCTCAGCCTGAGTGGAGGATGCTGGAGCCTGGAAGAGAAGGCTAGGCCTGCCGGGGCCCTGCTTAGAGCTGGTCCTCCTGGGGTATTTGTCCCGGTGCCACCTTGTTTGTGCACTTTGACTCTTCGAGAGCCACATAACCCTCCCCCCAGAACACCACCTGTCTTTGAATAGTTTGTGTCTAGGACGGGTCATCCTCAGGGAGGCCATAGCCTTGGCCGTTGTCCGTTTGACCCACGAATGAGCTCAGCCTCCCTCCCCTTGGTTCTGGTACAAGATGGCTCCTTGGCTGGGGTCCAGTAGCCCCCTCTGGGAATGCCGGTGAGCTCCATCCGGCCCAGCATCCAGGCTCTGTTTCACAGGTCTCTGCTGGGGAAAGAAAGGGCAGCCTAGCAGATTCCAGTGTTTAATGATCATCATCACCCCCATAGAGCCCACAAACTGAGGGTGGATTTGACATTTTGAAATGGTTGGGGGCTAAAAATCAAGACAAGAGTAACATTTCAAGTTACACAAAATGTAACTGTCAGTGTCCATGGATGAAGTTTCCTTGGAATGCAGCGTGTCTGCATTATCTGGGGCTGGTTTTGTGCTGGAGTGTCTGGTCCACAACTACTATTGTTTGTCTTGTAGTATCTTTGCGTTTCTTTGTTGTTGTTGCTTTGTTGTTGAGATGGAGTTTTGCTCTTGTTGCCCAGGCTGGAGTGCAATGGTGCATTCTCAGCTCACTGCAACCTCTGCCCCCCGGGTTCAAGTGATTGTCCTGCCTCAGCCTCTTGAGTAGCAGGGATTACAGGCGTGCACCCCCACGCCCAGCTAATTTTTATTTTTAGTAGAAACGGAGTTTCTCCATTTTGGTCAGGCTGGTCTTGAACTCCCAACCTCAGGTGATTTACCTGCCTTGGCCTTACAAAGTGCTGGGATTACAGGCATAAGCCACAAGGCCGGCACATTTCTTCTTTTTTTTGAGACAAGAGTGTCACTCTGTCACCCAGGCTGGAGTGCAGTGATGTGCTCAGCTCACTGCAATCTCTGCCTTCCAGGTTCAAGTGATTCTCTTGCCTCAGCCTCCTGAGCAGCTAGTATTACAGGCATGTGCCACCACACCCTGCTGAGTTTTGCATTTTTAGTAGAGACGGGGGTTTTACCATATTGGCCATGCTGGTCTCTAACTCCTGACTTAAGGCACTTTACCTGCCTCGGCCTCCCAAAGTGCTGGGATTATAGATATGAGCCACAGTGCCTGGCCTGTATCTTTTTTGCTTTTCAAGGCTGTGCCTTTGAGCCTTTTTTCTGTGGGAAAAAGAATGTCAAATGAAGTTGAAGGGTCTTGATCCCAAAGTGAGGGGCACTTCAACATCATAGTGAACAGGACAGGGTTGGGGGCTCACAGTGATACTGGCGACAGTGGCATGGAGTGCTCCAGGGCATGTGGGGATGCACAGTGAAGCCAGGAACCTGTTTAAAGATCTGAAGGGAGCTCCTATAGCCTTGGGGGCTAGGGGGACAGCCACCTTGGTGCAGAGTGATGGGCAGGCATTGAAGGGGCTTCAGGTCCTCAAAATTCCTGATCTTCAGGTTTGGGAGCAAGGGTTCCAGCCCTGGCGCCCTGGCTGGGTGGGCACAGGGGGCTAAAATTGGCCCCTAAGAGCTGGGGATGGAGCCCACCTGGCAAGGGAGCTGCTGGATGGCATCAGAAAGATCCAGATCACTGGAGAAGTCAGTGACTCAGGGGAGGACTCCGCTCCAGCCCTGTGCACCTGAGGGAGCTTCCTCCTCGCTCTGAGCAGTTGTCCTCCCACTGCCCCCTCTGCAGGGATGACTCCGCCGAGGTGGATGTGTACAACCCAACAAAGAACCAATGGGACAAGATCCCGGCCATGAATCAGGTAAATTTTCAGGCGGGCCAGCGTTGGAAGCTCAGGCTGGTCTTGATTTTGCAACCCAAGTGTCGTCATGATGAGTGCTTGGGATCCACCGCCATGATGGGTGGGTCTCATCTCAATGAATACAAGGCTGCTGTTATCTTTGTTTTGCACTTGAGGCTCACTGAGACACAGAGGTTAAGTAACATCCCATGATTACACAGCTTAGCATGCATTTGACCAGTATTTATTGTCAACTATAAGCCAGAGAGCAGAAGGAAGTGAGGGCATTCAGCCATCTGGGGACACCTATTCCAGAGAGGGATAGCAGGTACAGAGGCCCTGCAGCAGAGTGTCCTGGCACGTGCTTGGGTACGCCAGCGGACAGTGTGGCTGGAGCAGTCAGCATGAGGTCTCTGCCCTGCCTTTTTATTTTTGACAGTGTCTTGCTCTGTCACCCAGGCTGGAGTGCAGTAGTGCAATCATAGCTCATTATAGCCTCTACCTCCTGGGCTCAGGCAATCCTCCTACCTTAGCCTCCTGAGTAGCTGAGACTACAGGCGTGTGCTGCCACACCAAGCTATTTTTTTTTTCTCATATGTAGATGCAATAGGAAATTTTTTTTTAATTTTTGTAGAGACAGGGTTTTGCTGTGTTGCCCAGGCTGGTCTCAAACTCCTGGCCTCAAGTGACCCTCCTGTCTGGGCTCCCAAAGGGCTAGGATTACAGGGGTGAGCCACCATGCCCGGCAGATTCCTGAGGAACCCACTGTGGGGATACTTCTACTGTCACCTGCTGTGGGTTCTGAATAGGACAGCCAGGGTCCACCCCTTCTCTCTGGGCTTGATGAGAAGAGGGATGCTGAGCCTGGCAGTGTGATGGTTAACAGGGAAGGCTCAGTGCTATTTGGCCATGTGAGCAGTCTTAGTCCTAGGTACATATCACACTGCCTATAGCCTTCTTTCCTGTCTTAACATTTCCAGCCCTATACTCCGTGACGTCTAGCCTCATAGCTTACATCATAGCTTAATGTCCTTACATTTAAGAGACTCGGCTGGGTGTTGTGGCTCATACCTATAATCCCAGCACTTTGGGAGGCTGAGGCAGGCGGATCACAGTCAGGAGTTCGAGACTAGCGTGGTCAACCAGGTGAAGCCCCATCTCTATTAAATTTTTGTAAAAATACAAAAATTAGCCACACATGGTGGTGCGCACCTGTAATCCCAGCTACTTGGAGGGCCGAGGCGGGAGAATCACTTGAACCCAGGAGGTGGAAGTTCAGTGAGCCGAGATGACACTGCTACACTCCATCCTGGGCTACAGAGCAAGACTCCATCTCAAAAAAAAAGAACCTGGGCAGGGTCGGTGGCTCACGCCTGTAACTCTAGCACTTTGGGAGGCCGAGGCAGGTAGATCACCTGAGGTTGGGTGTTTGAGACCAGCCTGACCAATATGGAGAAAAACCCCACCTCTATTTAAAATAGAAAAATTTCAGCCGGACGCAGTGGCTCACACCTGTAATCCCAGCATTTTCGGAGGCCGAGGCAGGTGGATCAGCTGAGGTTGGGTGTTTGAGACCAGGCTGACTAACATGGAGAAACCCCACCTTGATTTAAAATAGAAAAAATTCAGCCAGATGCGGTGGCTCACACCTGTAATCCCAGCACTTTGGGAGGCCGAGGCAGGCAGATCACTTGAGGTTGGGAGTTGGAGACCAGCCCAGACAACATGGTGAAAACCCATCTCTACCAAAAATAGAAAAATTAGCTGGGTGGGGTGGCGTGCATCTGGAATCCCAGCTACTCGGGTGACTGAGGCACAAAAACTGCTTGAACCTGGGAGGCAGAGGTTGCAGTGAGTGGAGGCTGCACCATTGTACTCCAGTCTAGGTGACACAATGAGACTCAGTCACAAAAAAACAGAAAGAAAAGGGGAGTAGGGTGCAGCAATATCCAAGCCTTTATATTTTCTTACCACTCACCCACTGACTTACCCAGAGCAACCGCCAGCCCTGCAAACTTGCTCCATTCATGGTAAGTGCCCTACACATCCCATTTGTTATCTCTTATATTGAATTTTAGTCTACCTTTTCTTTTTTTTTGAAATGGAGTCTCACCTTGTCACCCACATGCAGTGACATGATCTCAGCTCACTACAACCTCCATCTCCCAGGTTCAAGCACTTATCCTCAGCCTCCTGAGTAGTTGGGGTTACAGGCACTCACCACTATGCCTGGCTAATTTTTTATTTTTAGTAGCATTTTTAGTAGAGATGGGGTTCCACCACGTTGGCCAGGAGTTGGTCTCAAACTCCTGACCTCAACTCGTCCACCTGCCTCGGCCTCTTAAAGTGCAGGGATTACAGGTGTGAGCCACTCACTGCCTTGACATTGTATCTTTCCTATGGTTACCTATGTTTAGATACACAAACACCACTGTGCTACAGTTGCCTATGGTATATATAGTACAGTAACATGCTGTACAGGTTTGTATCCTGGGAGCACAGGCTCTGCCAGAGACTAAGTACGGAGTAGGCTAAGACCATCTAGGTTTTTGTAGCACCCTCTAGGATGTTCACACAGGATGAATTTCTCAGGATATATCCTTGCCACTAAGCAACACGATTGTGTAATTTTAAGGAAGGATGGGAAGACTTAACCTTGTCAAGTATCAATACCACTCAGAGCAATTTACAGACTCAATGCAATCCCTTTCAAAATGGAAACAGCGTTTTCTACAAAAATGGAAAAGCAGATCCTCAAATTCATATGGAATTGCAAGGGGCGCTAGAAAGCCAAAACAGTCTTGAAAAAGAAGAATAAAGAACTCACTCCTCTTTTCTTTTGAGTCAGAGTCTCACTCTGTCGCCCAGGCTGGAGTGTAATGGCGCGGTCTTGGCTCACTGCAACCTCCACCACCCAGGTTCAAGTGATTCTCCTGCCTCAGCCTCCCGAGTAGCTAGGATTATAGGCGCCCACCACCACCCTCGGCTAATTTTTGTATTTTTAGTAGCGATGGGGCTTCACCATGTTGACCGGGCGGGTCTCGAACTCCTGACCTCGTGATCCACCCACCTCTGCCTCCCAGTGTTTTGGGATTACAGGCACGAGCCACTGTGCCTGGCCCTCTTTTCTTTTTTTGAGACAGAATCTTGCTTGTTGCCCAGGCTACAGTGCAGTGGCGCAATCTTGGCTCACTGCAACCTCTGCCTCCTGGATTCAAGCAATTCTGCTGCCTTAGCCTCCTGAGTAGCTGGGATTATAGGCACCCGCACCCAACATGACGTCCGGCTAATACCTTTGTATTTTGTATCTGCCTACTTTGGTCTACCAAGGTGCTGGGATAACAGGCATGAGCCACCACCCTCAGCCTCTTTTTTCTTTTTTTTTGAAACAAAGCTTCACTCCTGTCTTCCAGGCTGGAATGCAATGGCACGATCTTGGAGATCTTGGCTAACTACCTCCTGGGTTCAAGCAATTCTCTTGCCTCAGCCTCCAGAGGAGCTGGGATTGCAGACGCCTGCCATCATGCCTGGCTAATTTTTATATTTTTAGGAGAGAGGGGGTTTCCCCATGTTGGCCAGGCTGGTCCCAAACTCCTGACTTCAAGCGATCCGCCCACCTTGGCCTCTCAAAGTGCTGGGATTACAGGATTGAGCCACTGTGCCGGGCCTCCTTTTTCTTTCTTTTCTTTTCTTTTTTTTTTGTTTCGTTTCAGACGGAGTTTCACTCTTGCTGCCCAGGCTGGTGCGCAATAGCGTGATCTCACCTCACCACAACCTCCACCTCCAGGGTTCAAGCGATTCTACGGCCTCAGCCTCCCAAGTAGCTGAGATTACAGCCATGCACCACCACACTGGCTAACTTTTGTTTGTTTGTTTTGTTTTGTTTTTTGTTTTAGTAGAGACAGGGCTTCTCCATGTTGGTCAGCTTGGAAACTCCCGACCTCAGGTGATCCGCCCACCTCGGCCTCCCAGTGTGTTGGGATTACAGGCGTGAGCCACTGAGGCCAGCCTCTCTTTTCAACATACACTGAAGGTCCAAGCAAGAGCAGTTAGGGAAGACGAAGAAATAAAGGCACCTTAACTGGAAATGAAAAAGTGAGATTATTTCTATTTGCTGATGACACAATCTTACATATGGAAAATCCAAAAGATTCAAGAAACTGTACAACTGAGAAAGGAATTCAGTACCAGTGCAGGATACAAAATCAACGTTTAAAAATCATTTCACACTGAGAAACAGTTCTGTAAAAAAAACAAAAACAAAAACAAACCGTAGCATTTACATGTAACTATCCAAAAAATAAATCAAGAAAACAATCTCAATTAAAATAGCAACAACAAAAAAATACAGTAGTACAATAACGAAGAAGATGAAAGACTTCTATACAGAAAACTACCTTTAATTTTAATTTTTTTTTAAGAGACAGAGTCAGGCCGGGCGCGGTGGCTCAAACCTGTAATCCCAGCACTTTGGGAGGCCGAGGCGGGTGGATCACGAGGTCAAGAGATGGAGACCATCCTGGTCAACATGGTGAAACCCCGTCTCTACTAAAAATACAAAAAATTAGCTGGGCATGGTGGCGCGTGCCTGTAATCCCAGCTACTCAGGAGGCTGAGGCAGGAGAATTGCCTGAACCCAGGAGGCGGAGGTTGCGGTGAGCCGAGATCGCGCCATTGCACTCCAGCCTGGGTAACGAGCAAAACTCCGTCTCAAAAAAATAAAAATAAAAAAAGAGACAGAGTCTCACTTTGTCACCCAGCTGGAGTGCAACCGTGTAATCATAGTGCACTGCAGCCTTGACGTCCCAGCCTCCTGTGGTGGTGCAGGCCTGTAATCCCAGCTACTTGGGTGGCTGAGGCAGGAGAATCTCTTGAACCCAGGAGGCAGAAGTTGCCATGAGCCGAGATCATGCCATTGCGCTCCAACCTGGGCAACAAGAGTGAAACTCCATCTCAAAAGAAAGAGATTTAACTTTCTGTTTTCCCCACAGTAACCTACACATAGTGAATTTGGGAAAGATGGAAGGAATCATTTAGCCTCATGGTTCAGAGCCCAGCTCTGCCAGTGTCAGCCACACAAACCTCAGTTTTCCCATCTGTAACATGGGGAAAACATTAGTGTCCAGCCCCGAGGGCTACTGCAAAGATTTCTGAGAGAACGTAGGAAGTGCTGCTCAGCATGGTCTGCGCACAGGGAGGGCTGGCACTGCATCGGGTGCCCTCATCACCGTAGGGAAGGCCCAGCTGCCCCTGGGGAGGCCTGTTTTCCTAAGCGGGGTGTAGGAAGGGGGTTGGCTTCTCTGCTTTCTGGGAGTGCCAAGGCTGCTACTCTGGGTTGATGATAGGTCATGCCTTGTCTCCCATGGGTCCTCAGGTGGGGCCCTGTCCTACCCTCTCCTCTGACCTGCGCTCCCTCATTCTTTTGGGCCACAGGTGCACGTGGGGGGCAGCCTGGCTGTCCTTGGAGGAAAGCTGTATGTCTCTGGGGGATATGACAATACATTTGAACTCTCGGACGTGGTAGAGGCCTATGACCCAGAGACTCGCGCGTGGAGCGTGGTGGGGCGGCTCCCAGAACCTACCTTCTGGCACGGCAGTGTCAGCATCTTCCGCCAGTTCATGCCCCAGACTTTCTCAGGTGGGCGCGGCTTCGAGTTGGACAGTGGCAACAATGACATGGACCCAGGCCGACCCCGGCCACTGCGGGACCCTAATGAGCTGCACTAGCCCTGGTCCAGTCCAGTCCGGGCCTCGGTGCAGGTAACTGGCACCACTCTTTCATGTACGAGGACAGGTTGGGCTCACAGGTGGAGCACAGGCTCTCAGGTAGCCACGCAAGCCCAGGATCTGGTGCCTGAAGGTTTCTGTGCCTTGAGAGCCTGAGTCAGAGGCCATCCTGAACGCCCTTCCTGACGTTGAGGAAGAGCCACCTTCCTCCCGGCACGTGTTTCTGGGTCTTGGAGGTCACCCCCAGCCTGTGGATCGCAGCTCACCCACGCAGTGCACACCCCTCCTGCTGCTGTCACCTGCACCTAGTTCCTCCCACCTGGGTTGAGGAGGACGACTTGAGAGGGATGAGTGAAGGGAGGAGGGGTCCTCCTGTGAAGCTTGGAGGATGGCCTGGACCTGGAGCAGCGAATCAGGCAGACAGAGGCTGAAGTGGGGTCCCAAATTCCACATCTGGGGGTGTCTTGGGGGACCATTTCCCCAAAGGGGATGGGGGCCTGCCTCCCTAGCTCATAGCCCCTGCCCAGGGCTTACATCCGAACCCCACAGAGGGCTGGCCTCCAGAGGCTGCACCGGGACAGTGGGACATGAACAGGGATATGGACCTGGGGGGTGAAAATATGGCCATGGCAGATGATGGGTCTCCCCAGCCATAGCCCCCAACCCCACTCCCACCCCCTGACCCCCCCCCAACTGGCTGTTTTGTCTTCACCTCTCACTGTCTCCTTCAGCATCCTGGGACAGAAGCCCACGGGAGGTCTCAGGCCATAGGTTCTTCCCAGGAGGCCCTGGGAGGCAGTCATTGACACCTGGTCAGGCAGACAGCTGCAGGTGCCCGAGTCCTTGCCGGGCCTGTGCATGAGGAGTCCCACAGCTTCTAAAGGAAGTCCTGGGCAGGAGGTGGCCTTGGTGGTTGGTTTCAAGGTTTAAAATGCTTGCAGTTTGACCTTAAAAGAAGAGGAAGCTGTATAGGGTCAGCTTTGATTTTTCAATTCTGTAAAGTGCCATTGCCAGAGCTTTCTGCAGGAGCGCTCAGGTGAACGCCGCAGCCTGGCAGTCCCTGGTTTTTTCTTGGAAATGGTCAGTTTCACCTCAAAATACCCAAAGGAGCCTTGGCTTGAGTTTTTGTCTTTGCCTCCCTTTTTAGAGAAGAGGGCGTTCAGACTGTGCTTTTCTCGTTAAGGTTAAAGCAAATGTTGATTGCCTTTTCTAGTGTACTAACTTGTAGAGATGTTCTCAGCAGGAGACAGTCTCACATTGTCACTTAGATTGCACTTAAGACCCTTGTGTTAACCAGATGGCATGGCTGGTTGCCTTAATATGTCCGGGGACACCTGCCAGGGCTGCCTGGCCTCTCCCTCATGCTCCTGAAGAGCCCAGTCCATACACTGTGGATGACATTACTGTCATTAGAAAAACTTGTCCTAGAACGCCCTGGCTGGTTTGGTTACAGTTAGTGGCAGCTCTTCTCCCTTGGGTCATGGTTATCTCTCAGCACCTGCTGTGCACCAGGTACTGGTGGGACGGCTGAGGATGGGACCCCAGCACTGTCCAGGCCTGATGGGGCCTGGCTGGGAGTCCTATGGGTGGTGTGGAACGTGCAGCTGGGCTTCCTGTCGTCAGGCGCCTTCTGGCACTGTTGCTTGCGTTGCCCTCCTTCCTCTGCTTCCTTGGGCCCTCCTGGTCTGTGTGAACTCCCTCAGGGAACTTCCCTGCCCTGTAGCCCTCACTTAACTTCCTAGCCAGCTGTCGAGCCCATCCAGAGGTGGTTTGAGCTCAGTGGGGCAGCTTGTCTCCCTTGGCATCAGGGGTATAAGGGCTGGGTTCAGCCATACAAGATTGGCCAGGCCCTCGATCCCTGACTGTCCCAGGCACGGAGCTGGGCACCCAAGGATACACTCTCTGGGCTGTGTGATGACTGCCAGCACAGGGCATCTTGGTCTGGGCTAGGCTGCGAGGCCTTCCCGCTGTGGAAAACAATTTCTTTTTGCAGCTTTGCTGTGGTTGGCAGCTGCCGTACCCCATGCCTGTGGCGGCTGCGCAGACAAGGGCTATGGTACGAGCCAGAGTGGAAGAGCTGGACTTGGGTTTGCACCCTCTCCTGTGTCTGTTTTCCAGACCTACCCTGGTCTCCACCATCAGGACCACCCCATCTTTGGGTTTCAAAGACCAAGGCTGGGGAAGAGCAGGCACCAGCCTCTGCAGCAATGCGTGTGGACACCAGCTGGGGGAGCCAGGGTCCAGCCCCTCCTCTCCCGGTTCCCCTATGCTGTGGGTTCTGGGCTATCATGTCCCCACCACTTAAGGGTGTCTTTACACTGACTTCAGAATAGATGCTGGGATGCCTAGGCATGGGACTGTCCCCACGTGTTACGTGTACAGAACTCTGTCTACAGCACAAATTATGAAAACACAGTGACTGGTATTTAACGCTGATGTACTATAATGTATTTTATATTTATATGACTTCAGAGACGCATATGTGATAAAGGACACCCTCCCTCTAGTGTCCACACCCAGTCCTACCGCAGAGGGTTGGGCAGGTTGACGTATTTATTTTTATCTCTTCCGTAGGCTTCCATGTCCAGAATCCTGCTTAGGGTTTTAGGGTGCCTTTGGAACTTTTTGCAATAAAAATATTTCCCATCCATTTGGGGTCATTCCCTTTGTCCTCTTGCTACTGTGCCTTCTGGGACTCCTTTGGGCTGAGGCCAGGTGTGGGAGGAACTGGCAGCATGGTGGGCCCAGGGCCCTTCCAGGCCCTTTCTCAGATCGTTGGAAGCGATGAGGCAGTGGAAAAGATGCCTGAGAGGCTGGGTGTGGTGGCTCGCACCTGCAATTCCAGTGCTTTGGGAGGCTGAGGAGGGAGGATCACTTGAGCCCAGGGGTTCAAGATCAGCCTGGGCAATACAGGGAGACCTTGTCTCCATTGAGAGAGGCTGAGAAGTAAAGGTAGAGCAGGGTGATGCATGGGAAACCTGCCTGCTCCAAAGCTGGTCTCTGCCTGGGCCTGGCGCTCGCAGCCCTTCCTGAGGATGTGGTACAGGTGGTGATGAGACTCCCATCTGCAATGGGATGGACCTTGGACCTGGGGAGGTGGAGCCCTTCAAACCTGGGGAGGTTTGGAGTCCCAAACCAGGCTGTGAATCCACACAAGGTGTCCAGCTCAGGATGTTTTTCACATCTGCAGAGCCCATCTGAACCTGAGGGCAAAGCCGGTGTTTCAGCTGGGAAGGGGAGCAGTATTGAAGGCAGAGTGGGCCTTTTTTTTTGAGACAGGGTCTCATTCTGTCACATAGGCTGGAGTGCAGTGGTGCAATCTTGGCTCACTGCAACCTTCACCCCTGAGTAGCTGGGATTACAGACATGCAACACCACGCCCAGCAGTTTTGTATTTTAAGTAGAGAAATGAAGCTGTCAGTAACTTGCCCAGGGCCAACTGAGTTGGGAAGAAATTTAAACATGAGAAATCTGCTCTAGGGCCCATGTGCATTTGCTCCTTGACACAGCACCCCACAACTGTAGAATCTGGGACCAGCAAAGCCTAGACACACAGACCAGGCTGTTCTTGAGGGAAGGGTCCCCTCTGGGCATGCCAGAGCCCAGGGTCTTAGTCAAGAGCCCCGCCTTCCTGAGGCTCCTAGGCGTGCTCAGCTACACTAACTGGGCCCAAGCCTTGGGTCCTGACCACTCTACTCAACTCCAGAAGCTTAGTAATGAATTCTATCTCCAGTGGCTGGTATCACCTCAGCTCTAAATTAGGAATAGTAGTGCTCTATATGGCCAGCGTTCCCCACTCTAAAATCCTGCAATAACAAGGAACATGCATACAGATGTGGAGAGCAGCCAAGGCCAGAGGTTTGGCCCCCAAAGGAACCCTGGCCAAGCGTCGCTCAGCTGAGGTTTCCCAACAGGAGGGAAAGCTGCTAGCTGAGCTGATAGCCACACAGGATCGGCAGGGCACCACTCTGTCCTGAGGACACACGTGGGAAGGCAGCCTTTCCCCAAATGCAGGACACTGGAGAACAGGCCGTTAGGCTGAAATACACGAGTTCAAAGCCACACGGTTTATTGGGTGGGGCCACATGGGCTCTGGTGGCCGGAGTGGGCTATGTGTCGCAGTCCTCCGGGACAGCAGCTGTGATGATGAGAGACGGCTCCAGAATGCCTGGTCCAGCAAAGCTCTCCTCTGCACATAGTCTCTGGCCGGGGAGCTGGGAGGCCAGGCCACCCTGGGCCAGGGACTCCACAATGACCTCCGCCGAGCCCACCTCCAGCTCGGCAGGCGGCTGCAGCGCCACCACCACCATCTTCTCGTCCTCGATGATGAGGTTGCGGAGCTTGCGCTGCCGTGGATTGTAGTTCTCCACCCGGTCGTGAATCTCCATGTGCCTCCGCAGGTGGGCCTGGCGGGGAGGGCAAGCTCAGGACTTTGGGGGACCGCGGGGAGGGGAAGGCACCCAGGGCCTGGCCTACCTGTCGGGTGAACTTGTAGCCGCACTCGGTGCACTCGAACTTCCTCACCCCCTTGTGCCGTCTGACGTGCACACGCAGTTGCTCCACAGCTGCGGGAGGGAGGAGAACACGGAGCGGATAGTGCAGAAGCCCGGGGACCCTCGAGGAAACAGCAGGAGGTTGGGATAGACAGCAAGGGAGGTGGCTCAACCACTGGCAGGGGTGGGGGGTTCTTTCTGCTGTACGTGGGGCCAGTGGTTTACAAGTGCTGCACAGGCCCTGCCAGGCTCTCCAGTGCCACCCACAGTCACTACTGCACAGGACAACCTGCTTTCAGTCAAAGCAGGTCCACTTTCAAATCTAACATGTAGTGCACAGAAGATGTTCACTGGCAAGCAGGGAGCATTTCCTCCTCAGAGACCCTCTAACTTGGGTGAGCAGGAAATGGCTCCCCCAGGGTCACCCAGGTACCTTTGAAGGTCTTGCCGCAGATTTGGCAGAAGTGGGGCCGGCCCTCCTGGTGGCGGCTGGCCACATGCCTCAGGAGGGGCCCCTTCTCAGTGAAGCGCTGCTCACAGAACTCACAACTGAAGGGCCTTTCGCCAGTGTGGGTGCGGTTGTGCTTGTCCAGGCTGGCTGTGGGCACAAGGCAGGAGCTCAGCCTGCTTCGGCTTCGGGACAAGGAGGGGAGGGGCAGGACGGCGGGGTGGGGCGGACCTCACCTTGGGTGCGGAAGGTCTTGCCACAGAGGTGGCACTGGAAGGGCTTCTCGCCTGTGTGCGTGCGCAGGTGCATGTTGAGATTGGCCTTTTGGGTGAAGGCATGGCTGCAGAACTCACACACATGTGGCCTCTCATTCCTGTTATGGTGGGGACATGGGGCAGAGGCTATCACCAAGAGAAGTGGCCCCTTCGCTCTGCTACAGCTAGGAACATGACTGGTGGAAAAAAGGGCTTGGGCAGTGCCAGGAAAGGGGCACCACCTCCACCCCCAGAGCAGAAGGGCATCTATAAGCAGGAAGTCACAGGAAACTAAGGAAACTTGGAATCTGCCCTGAGCACAGAGTTATCTGAGCCTGAAACACCTCCCCCCAGCCTCTCCTGCCTGGCATACCTGCTTGCCCCTTGGGTCCCACTACCCCAGAAAGGCTGTAGGCACTAGATTCAACGTGAAGGCCAAGGACATACTCATCTGTGTAAATGTCAGCAAACTCTATCTTCCCTGCCTGGTGCTAGCTTGGGCTGGCAGCAGGACTGGGCCCCAGGAGAGAAAGGGTGACACACACCTGTGCTTGGCCTTGATGTGCATCTGCAGGCCATTCCGACTCGAGGCCCGGTGCCCACACTCCTCACACACAAACAGCTTCTCCCCACGGTGCTTGAAAGCTTCATGCAGCTGCAGCTCTGTCCGAGACAGGAAGCACTTGGCACAGGTGGGGCACTGCAGGCAGAGCCACCAAGGCCAGGGTGAGAGCAAGGCAGGGCTGCCTGGAAGACCCACAAGTCCCCGCCCCGAAACAACAGAAAGCTCATGGCCAACTGCCCACTTTGGGAACAGCTCACTTTTGCTCATGCTGAAGAAAATGTGTTTCTCAAAATGTTACTTTTCAAATGTAAAGTACATCACAAAACATGTTACGAGTTAACTTTTAACTGCTCTCTGTTCTGGCTTCTGTAAACTTGTTTCCTGCTTCATCATCCTGTACCACCCAGGTGCATAAAAGGCACCTCATTTTCTTTGTCCTTTACTCAAAATTAAAAAGCAATTCCGTTAAGCCCATAATCACGTTAAATAAAATCCTCCTGCAACCCCATTGATCTCTCCAAATCTCTAATTTCCTGCTACAATGCCAGCATCAAAGCATGCCCAACCCTTCCTATCACTTACTGCATGGGGCTTGGGGGCTCCGTGCAGCTTGATCATGTGGCTCTGCAAGTCCTTCTTTTGCATGAACTGCTGGGAGCAGGAGGAACACTGAAAAAGAGGCCCACAGTCACCTCCAGGGCAGTCTGCACCCATGAAACCCTGCCACCCACCCTCAGGCTATAGGGTAGGAACTCAAGAGAGGCCCCCGATCTGGTGTGAAGTATGGAGCTGGGGAGGGCCCTCAGGGCTCAGCTGCCCAGTGGATGCTGAGCCTGTCCTCCATGGAAAGAAACAAGGGCTCAATAAGGATCCTGGAGGTGAGGCTACAGCCAGCAGCCCTGCCCAGATAAAGGGGCACTGGGCAGCAGGGAAGGCAGGCTCCCTGACAGCTACCATGAGGGAGGTGCCTGATACCACCCATGTAAAGGGCTCAGCAGAAGGGATCCTGGGGCTACCCACCCCTGGCCCTGGAGACAGGCAAAGCCTGACCTTGTAGGGCATCTCCCCTGTGTGAGACACCATGTGCACCCGCAGCTCCATCCTCCGGCGAAATGTGTCCTGGCACACAGAGCACGTGAAGACCTGGCAGTGTGAGGGGCAAGCGGGGCCAGCATCAGCGGGGGCCTCTGCCTGCAACAGCAGCCTCTGCCCGGGCTTCCACTCGCTGCTGGGAAGAGTCTGCCTGAGGGGTGGGGACGCTAGGGTGGGAAAGGGTAACATGTAACCTGCCTGGTATGACTGTCACTGAGTGCTGCAAGCCCACCGCACACCAGGCCCTTCTCAGGCCCAGACAGACTGAGGGTAGGGTCCAGGTGGCCTCACCCACAGTCCCTGGCCCCTGAGGGGACTGACAGTCCTCTAGAAAGAGTGGGTCTGGGTTTCAGCTGGCCCTGACATAGAAGCCAGCAGTGGTGTTGCGGGGAGGCGTCCAGGGGGCCTTTCCCAGCTGCCATCCTCTGTGGAGGCTCCCCTTCTCCAAAGCCCAAGGTGGGTGGGCCAGGGGCCTAGGAAGGCAAATCCAAAATGCCCCCTACAAAGTCCCTCCTATGCCAGTCCCTTCCACCCTCAGGACCTGTGTCCCCTATACCAGGGCATGGACTTGATGACATCTAAGGACCCCACAGCTTTCCTGAATTTACAGTACCTCTCTCAGACAGTGTCCTGGGGCCCTTCCCGGATGGCACAAAAACAGAGAGGCCAATGTGGCACAGGCCCTGCCCACAAGTACCTGGGCCAGCTCCCAAGTACCTGTTCCGAGCGGTTCATGCAATTCCGGGCTTCATGCTCCAGGAGGTTCTCCTTCCGAAAGTAACACTTCCCACATTTGGG